CTTTTCCTGATTTTGCACATGGCAATGAAAGTTTTTACTTAGCCTTACTTGTCCTTTGTAGTGGACAGCAGGAGTTACTAACCCCAGTTTCTAACCCATTTCCATTTTGCAGGAGGTAGAGGGCTGAATAAAGGACTTTGCTCAGAAGTGTGGAAAGGTCCGCTTTAGATCTGTCAGGAGATGAGACAGAGGAGGGCCAGACTGTAGAGCAGGGAGGTGAAAGCTCAGAGGAGAGGCCTGAATAAGAGCAAAGTGACGACAACCTGTGTAAGCTTAAGTTCATTAGTATTACAGTGTCTAGAAAAGAAAATAAGAGCCTTTTTAGTTGAATTAAACAAGTAATCAGCATGACATTCAATCTTGATGTCTCTGATGAGGGGAAAAACAGTCATGCTCTCTGGAAGGTGAGGCCTCTCTTTAGACTGCTGAATGTATTTGTGCTTGCCAACCAGCTTTGGGTGACAATCAAAGTGTGCAGAATGCAGTTTAATCACAAAGCTCCACTAAAAGATGATGTGTTTCCTTCATCTAACTGTTTAAAAATTCTTATCTTTATTACTTTATTTTATTTGTAACTCCTTCTACAGGATTCTACACAGACACTCAATCCAAACTTAAAACCTCAGCTAGGGCATAGTTGGTTGTATTCAGTTCATTGGTATATCTCATACCTTCCAAAATATTCACAATGAGTGTTCAAAATGTTCAGAAACGTCCCTGCATTTATGACTGTATTCAACTTTTTAATCCAATTCAGAGGTTTGAATATATTCAGCTTTGTTTGAACCTTGATTATAATGAAACCTTCAAATCCACTCATCTTCAACCGCTTCCCTCTCATTCAAACCAGAAAATCTTCCTGAGAAAATGTTACTTTCACACATCAGTTCAGCTCTTTTATGCCCTTCACACTTTCTGTACAGTGACGGTTCCAGTTTCATGAACTTTTCTGAACAAAATAAAGAAAAATATTCATGATACTGTCTGTCTGGTATGACATGCAAGAGATGGTAAAACTGTACATTTTCAGTTCTTTTCTGAGGGTTATTTTCATTATTAAATATAAATAACATTTTTAGCATTTATTTTCTCTTTTTTAATGGCCTTAAACTTGACATTAATAGTTTACCTTCAGTGTTTGCTGCCACTGTTTATCCACGTGCAGTTCGTCACAGTGTTCACCAAGAGGTTGAAACAAGCTGATTATATTAACAGGATCATTTCTCATCTCCAGTTTAGTGGTAGTAACCCCCTCCCTACAACTAGCAGCATGCCTGGTACACCCTGCCTCTCTTCTCCAGACCACCACACCACAGACCTCCATTCCAGTTATATTGTTACACAAATAGAAGCTTCCTGTCATGGAAGTTCCGATTCCTGTCAAAAAAAAGTGTGTGGAGAGGAGGGATTACTGATTTCCAGAAAGAGTGAATGTGTGGGGTCACATTCCACCTGAGCCAAGCTGACAGCAGGAAGTTCGCTTATGGTCTGGGAGAGTGTGTCTGTGTAAACAGAACCTGCAGCAGTGTGACACAGATAGAAATGAGGAGGGGGAGGACAGCAGTTTAGATGGACAAAGCCCCTTCCCTGGTCTGCTGTCAGCAAGGCAGTTCTTCATGATATGTGCCAGAATAATACACTGCTCAAGTAGTAACACTGTCCTTGTCATTACTGGTAGCATGAGGCGGCACCTGCAGCCCAATCAGGTCGCACAGGGCCGTAGAAGGGCATCAACCCAGCAGGAGGACCGGTACCTGCTCCTTTGTGTGAGGAGGAACAGGAGGAGCACTGCCAGAGCCCTGCAACATGACCTCCAGCAGGCTACTGGTGTACATGTTTCTGACCAAACACACCAAACATGAAGCCCCACGTCCTCTAGTGGAGCCTGTGCTCACAGCCCAGCACCCTGCAACTCGATTAGCATTCGCCAGAGAAGACCAGAATTGGTAGGTCGGCCATTGGCGTCCCGTTCTCTTCACAGATGAGAGCACGTTCACACTGAGCACATGTGACAGGTGTGAAAGAGTCTGGAGACGTCGTGGTGAACGTTATGTTGACCTGAATCCAAGTGAGCACCTATGGGACGTTATGTATCGGCGCATCCGACGACGCCACATACCGCCACAGACTGTCCAGTAGCTCATCACACAAAGTGTTCATGAGCAGCTCCTGAATTGAGGACTATAACATTGGTAATGACAAGTCACCAGAGAACAGACTGAGAGATACTATATTGATGAATATTAAATATCTGTGACTCAGAATAATGACCACTGTCTCCATCATTAGTTCCTGATTAACTCTAAACCACTCCAACCAGCAACAACTCTTTTTTAATCAATTACTTAATAATGACTCTTTTTGTGCTCCCAAAGTAAAGTGATACATCATACTGTGTAGTTACTATAGTCTAGTAATTAATGATGGTAAGTAGCTGAGCTTTTTTGTTCGGGAATTCACAATTAGTTCCTAAGTAAAACCAGAGACAGCAGGATACTTAAATTCTCATCTTAATCATCATATTGAAACCACATATAATATATATTTATATTCACATCTAAGTCATATTGTGCCTTTAAAATGAAAGTAATAAACTGTGTAATCTTAAAGATTTCACCATGGAGCTCCATGGGAAGGCATCAACTCCAAACACAAACTACTTTAACAAAGTGTATTTACATATTTACAAAATGTCTCAAAGTCTAGCAAATTAAAAATCTAAAAATTAATTTGGAGTCTTAGAAAAAGTGAAAAAAAAAATCAATGAACAATCAATGAACTGACAATTATTACATTACATTTCACCTTGATGAATCCAATAATAAACTGCTGTTAAGTGTATGAACCGTATAGACCCACACCAGAGAAGAGATGAGCAGAAAAAAGCCAAAGGCCTCAGCTGTTAGCAGAACGGTCCAGCAACCTGCATCTTGTCTTTCCTCCCAAGCTTGATGTGAATATTCTGCAAAATGAAGACAGGACTTCCTGTCCAGGGTGTACCAATCGCCCAATGTCAGCTGGGATTGGCTCCAATTTTTCAACTTTTATCTCTGTTACCTAGCAACCAATGCTACCTTCCTCATCTCATCTCTGAGGTATTTTGTAACCGTTTGGATTTTTCCACGTAATGTTAAAACAGATTAGTTAGAAGTGCTGGTAACATCTGTAGAAGAATCCAAACATGTTCTTTTTGAGAAATGTGCACACACACACACACACACACACGCACACACACTCACATCCTACTTCCTTTGAAATGACGAATGTAAACATGGTTTAAGATGAAAGCAACAGTTATCTTGAAAACTGATCCAGAATCAGGATGTGTTACATCAGGCTGCAGCTTCAGTTCACACACTCATCCTCCTGCACCTTCAGTGTCTCATTGTAAACCTGTTCAGACCTGCAGCTGCAATTACTGCCACCCCTCCCCCCACCAACACCACCACCCAACAAACAAAAACATTTTTACATTTTATTTTCTAATCATAATTATCTTCTTAGACAATAAAAACTTGTATACTACTTTTCATTAATGTTGCCTGCCAGACTTCCTTTACTTTTTTAATGGTTTTATTTCACATCACTCTCTAGCCTAGCTAAAGTACAGTTCCCTGTTGTTTGATGATCAGATAATTTCCTCAGTGCGTTCAGGGTCTGTGGAGCAGGTATGTAAATGTGACGTGTGTTAACTCCCACTTTTATAGACACAACTCACTGTGCGGTTAACATTTATTTTCAGGTGTGGGCACCTGAAGGCAGCGGCTGCCCTGTTGCCCCTCCCTGTACAGAAGCAACAACCGAAAAAAAAAAAAAAAAAAGTGCTGCTTTCATGGACTGTCAGCAATATCTAAACTGGGAAAATCAGATTCTGCTGCAATGAAGAGACGAGCTGTCAAACACCAATGACATAAAAATATAACGATATAATAGGAGACGTGCAGATTTAAGTGTTAAAACCTTAATTTAACCAACATTTAAGTTTCTTCTTAACTCACTGCTGAGGTTCTGAAACTGAATACCAAACCTCTTGGCCAAAAGTATGTGGATAGAATATGTTAAATTTCATTCATCTACGCTGGGGGGAAATTTGGGGATATGGAAATTATTTGGAGTACGGCAGCATTCAGTCCTTTTCATGTTATAACAAGTTGTTTTTCGTGTTATAATGAACTGTTCTTGTTATAACCATATAAATGACTCAGTGTTAGCATTGAGCATTCTTGTTAAATCAAGATATTGTTGTATCTTATTAGAACTTTCTTGTGTTTTCACAGAATCGACAGCGCTTGTTAAAAAATGAAATGTTCCTTGTTTTAATGACAAGTTTATCTTATTATTTATTTATCTTATTAAAACAAGAAACTTTTCTCCACTTTTTCTAAAATGAGCTGATATGTTGTTTAGTAATAATGACAAAAATATGTCATTACATTCTCATAACATTAACTGTAACTGTAACATTGACTGTATCTAAAATAAGAATAGTCTTACTGGTGACAATAGCAGTGGTAAGTAAATAAACTTCATTGTTATGACACTCTTGGAAACCAGAGTTATTTGCCTCTCACGTGTAAATAAAAATACGATATGAAAAAAGTACAATAACATGAGAACAAAGTCAAATACAAACATCACGAAAACCACTGAAGTAGATACTATTAGTTATAAAAATCCTCCTTGAACCTGAACTGTGGAACTGCCAACGTCCTGAGGGGTCATGGGGTTGAAATATCCAAAATACATAATGGGGTCACACCATTAAAAAAAAGTTGCAGAATACTCAAGACAAGAAAAAAGTGCAGATGATTTCCTCAACTATGTTTCTAAAGTGACCCAGACTATCTACATGGATAAAGTAATAAATGAACAGTAATATCCTTAAAAGCTTTCTGTGGTGAGTCCACATTCTCTCTTTTCCTCTCAAAACCAAGTGTGATATAACATCTGAGACGCACGATCCTATGAGCAGCACTTGAAGGCAGCACAGACCAGGAAAAGTGAGGAACCTGCGCGTTCATTTAGTCTTGATCTGTGAGCCATGGAGGGTAGAGGGCTGTCGGATGAGGCTGTGTCTGCTGCCTGCAAAGAAGGAGACCCCATCACCAAGGTAACCGTTTACTTTTCTTGTTTTTAACGAAGCCACATTATATATAATGAATTTGATTAGATCTGTTTTACTCCCTTGCTGTAGCTGCAGACTGTGGTGAGGCTGCAATGCAGTCAAACCTGTCGGCTGTGATCTGTGTGTGACTCCAGACGTGCAGATACCTGTGTGCCGCACTGCCACTTCACATACCTTGACATTTATGTTGAGCTGCAGACACCTCCACTCTAATGAGACTTGAAGTCTTACATTAGGACTGTTTTATAAAAACTTGTGTTGAGTGAAAGTTAATTCATGTCCCCGAAAAATAGTGAAACCTGTGCTTAAAATGATTCCTGAAGGTTATTTTTATGTATTTAAAGTATTTGAAATGCTTCATGTTTCTGTGTTCTTGATGACTCTGGTCTCTGCAGGACTACATGATGCAGCAGACGATGCTGAGGGTCAAAGATCCGGCAAGGTCTCTGGACTTCTACACTCGGATCCTTGGCATGACGTGAGTCCTCAGTCTAAACTATTCAAACGGTCAAATATTAAAGGATCACTTCCCCTCAAGTTACACCCCATGTTCTCCAGTGGTATCTACCCGCGCAGATGGTTTGGGTTTTATTTGTCCAGGTTTTGAGATTTCTGCTCCATCTCAGATAAAAGATGGTGGATGGAATTTTCCTTTGTTGAACCAGAGACACACAAAGTTCAACAGCAACTCGTCTTTCCAGAAACAGTGTCCTCTTTACTCTGGATGAACCACAGTCCTCGCTGTGAACAGTTCTCAGAGGGACGTCCTGCATGGCTGGACACCAGAGGGAAAGTCAGACACGTTAGTCTTCCCTGCTGTTTTTATGTTCAAAATCATCCACCACTCAGCTCCCATGTGGTTTCCAGGTTGCTGCAGAAAATCGACTTCCCCTCGATGCACTTCACCCTCTACTTCCTGGGTTACGAGGAGAAGTTGGAAATCCCAGTCGACATCAGAGAGAGGACAGCGTGGACGTTCTCCCGCCGAGCCACCATCGAGCTCACACAGTATGTATGATGACACCAAACACACCCATAAAAGACCAGAGAAGCTTCCAAACAATCTGGCCAAAAGTAAATGGACATGATCTTTTTTGTTCGTTCTTGGCCCTTCAGTTCCAATGAAGGGAAACTGCAAAGCCACAACCTACAATGATATTTCACATTATCATTTTGCAGAATAGTGAGCTTCTAAATATATGTCCACTTCCTTTCATGTATAATAAATGTCTCAGTGATTTGGTGATTATTGTTTCTCTGTGTCAGTAACTGGGGATCAGAGTCAGATGAAAATCTGTCATACCACAACGGGAACAACGAACCGCGAGGATTCGGTGAGAGTTCATTCGATTTCACTGACAGGAAACAAGCTTACATTAACTTTCAAATCGTTCTTTTATTATTTTACTATATCACTTTCTCTGATAACTTTTTAATTCTTATTGTTGTTATTTACTGTAATTAACATATTATACCTGTATTATTTCTGTCCAAACAGATTGGACCTTTATTTGCTTTCTTGGTTGTGTGTGTTTTGGGTGTAACCTGCCGTCTTGTTGCAGGTCATATTGGCATTGCTGTCCCTGATGTTTACACTGCCTGCAAATTATTTGAAGACCAAGGAGTGACGTTCGTCAAGAAGCCGGCCTCAGGTGAGTTCTTCTTCACTCAGAACTTAAAACGTTTGTGCACTCTGGTCTGGAGCAATCATTTTAGAGCAGCATTTTATCTACAGTATCTGACCGTCCGTCATGTCACATATGATGGTTGCATATGCTGGTGTTTGTTGTAGACGCTGAGCTTGATTCAGAATCTGACAGTCAAACTAAAACACTCATGAGATTAAAGGCAGAAAACAGTAGAAATCTCCCTGCAGCTGCAGATATTCATTCATTTATTGACCTGATTAATCTCTATGAAGGGTCTCGATTCTCATTAGATCCTGTCTCACCACAGACTGTTAAATCACTATAGCAGAATAACTTACATATTTCAATACGAGATGAGGTACAACATCTACATGCTGTTGTTCTCAAAATATGAAAACTGACATACTCAGACTCATGGTTTATATATATGACTTTCCACCAGGAGATGGAGCTCAGAGTTCGGGGTGTGGGTTAGAGCTGATGCTGGGTTCTGTTGACTTGTCACACTGTGGGGACTACATGTAACTCACTCTCTTTCTTTCTTACTTTCTTTCTCACAGGTAAAATGAAGGACCTGGCCTTCATTCAGGACCCTGACGGCTACTGGATTGAGATTTTAAGTCCGAACAACATGGTCTCCTTAATGTCACCTTAACGACCAGACACTGGGGGACACTCAGGATGTTACTATTGGATGACACAGTGGAAACAAAACTTTTTTTTTTTTTTTTTCACATGTCAAAGACTTGATATCAACATAAACCTTCCTCTCTGTTGTAATCCAGCTCCTGTTGGTCATTTTCTTTTCTTTTTATGTTGCTAAGGGACTTTTCTTAAGAATTTGAAGATCTGTGAACATGCTGCTGCTTTTCTAAAAAAAAAAGCTTTAAATCTGTTGTCTGTATGCTGCAGTGTTAGTTAAATGTTTACATATTTTACAATCAAAAAGCTTCTACCTCTGGATGCTTTATGAGGAACATGAACATGAATGTGACATTAACTTTGACCCCGTCAACAGAAAGTAATGAGGAAACTGAAGTCATCTCATGTTTTCCTGCTGAATCATTATAAAACAAACGCTCCATGTGAAACTAAAAGCCTCTTTAATAAATTCTGGTCCTTTAAAAAAAAAAAAAACAGTATCAGAGGATCAGAGGGATCTAGTCAGAGAAGAAGCCGTGACTAAGTCAAAGTTAAAGTTAAAGTTCGTTTTATTCAGAAACTGAGACTTAAAACAAGCCGTCAGGACTTCTGAAACTTTGTGATGTCACAACAAAGCAGCCACTATCCCAAGCCCCGCCCACCTGGACCCACCATCCAAGCTTAAAGGATTTGGTTTCTCTGACTGTTTACCTGAGCCCTGTTCTGTTTTTATTCCTTCAAAAAACAGTCAGCCAATCAGAGGAGAGGCTCAGAGAAAGTTTATTAAAACATCATACTTATACAAATTCAGTATGTTTATATGTGTTTTGTTTTTTTAATTGATTAAAAAAGAATATGTCTATCTTTTATATTTTCTCATAATTTAAACATATATTAATGGGCATGGATATATTTCATGTATGGAAATTCAATATATGCAACATTGTATGGTGTATACAGTGTATGGATATTTTTTCAGTACAAGTGAAGCCAGATTTTTATAATTATTTAGTGTTTTAACTGGGAATCCTGGTGGGTGTGTGTGTGGCTGTACTAACAGCTTCTGTGCTGTTTGGTACATGAACAGTGTGTGAATCAGTCAGTGGTTAAACAGAGACTCTGTGGATGTCTTCTCGTTGCTTCAGCGTCTCTTCATTCACTCTCTGTCCTCCAGTTATTATCCGTCTCTGTATGTAAAACGCTGGCTGGCTCATGTCACCAAGTTTCCCGCCGGTCACTTCAAAGCGGCGTTCGGCGTGAGAACCGTGTCGGCTGACCGGGCCGGATTTACGGCCCGCGGAGCTGTTCCCAGACCTGTCAGCCTTTAATCCTCCACTCAGCTGGAAATGATGGCGTTTTCTTCTCTGGGAGGATTTAACGGGTGCAACAGTGATTTCAGCGTGTAAATCAACTGCAAGATGAAGGCCGAGAGCAAGAAGCAGTGGATTAAAGTCTGTGTGTGTGTGTGTGTGTGTGTGTGTGTGTGTGTGTAGTCCAGTGAGTCACAGATACTTTACATTAAAGAATTTGAGCTGGAAAACAACAGCCTACACTGAAGCGGCTTTTATGTTGAGAAAACACTCACTGCAGGATCCACTTAGCAGTTCTGGTGCTTTTGCCCATATGTAATAGAAACGTAGCTGTTCAAACTTTAAAAAAGGAGAATAAAAAAGGAAATGTCAACATTTCAACGGCGCAAACTCCAACTGCAGAGGAAGCTCTTCTAATAGGACAGAAAGCTCCAGAATACCTGCTAAACACAACGAACCACAGTGCGATCAAGTTCCCACTGAAAAGAGAAAAAACAGTCACACCAGCACTTTTCATTACAGCAGCTTTAATGTTACTTTATTTGTAGAAAGGCACGCAGGGAGCCACAGGTTCACAGTGGGAAGATCAGTGACAGTTTACATGTAAAAACCACAGGTAATAGAGGAGAAGTTTCAGTAAGATATTAGAATCACCGTCATTGTTATTATGTTGATCTTCATCCCAGTTTGCACCAGTCTGAACACACCGGTCAACTGGTCTGCAGGGACACATTTTATTCACTTCAAAACATATAACATCCTTGTTAGTCAGGTTAAACATCAGTGGACTGATCCTCCCAGAAACTTTGGTTTATCACTTTTTGTCAATGGTCAGTGTTTACGGAAGATTTCAAATGATACATCTGGTGTTATTCTACATTTTTACCATCCTCAGCAGTGTGGCTGGTATTGTTTTCACCTTGTGTGTGCAGTCATTGTAAAATGTAGTCCTGGTTACTACTGTATCAGGAGCTACCACAGAGGCACCAAGGTTTTGAGCACTTTGGCAGGGGTTTATGTCTGATCCCATCACAAGACGGTCTGTAGTTCTTGTTAAAAGATCCCACGCAAAGACCAAAACCAAGTCCATCTCCCAAGACTTTCTGACGTGTGCTCTCAGCTCCGAGCCCACTGGTCCGTCCTGAAGATGTAAATCTTTAAAATCACCTCACAAATACATAGTTCCATTTTTTAAAAGGCTCAATAATTTCGTAAAACTGCAGAACAATGTAGTTTTTAGTGCATTTGTTGGGGACTATTTTCAATGGCGGATTAATCCACATTTGGTGCTCTAGTGAGTATTTTGGGCAGCAGGACTGTGTATGTGAGACTCAAATAAACTACAATGTGTGTTCATGGTTATGAAGGAACATGTCAACCAGTGTAACAGTGTGACAAACTAATGTGTCCCATCCAGTCTAAAGGTCTCTGTCCATGTGTAGTTTGATTATAAAGCAGGTCTAGGTTCTATATTAATACTGTGAAAGTATCAAAGTGCTGTATTCAGAAACTGAGCCTTAAAACCAGTCGTCAGAACTTCTGGAACTTTGTGATGTCACAACAAAGCAGTCACCGCCCTCAGCCATGCCCCAAGCCCTGCCCACCTGGACCCACCATCTAACCATGCAGGATTTGGTTTCTCTGAGTGTTTTTACCTGAAATCTACTATCTTTTTATTGGATCACTCAGAAAACAGTCAGCCAATCAGAAGAGAGGCTCAGAACCTCCTCTCTTCTGATTGGCTCACCAACCTGTTGTTATTAGAGCTCCAGAGAGAAGCCTGAGAGAGGAGATGTAAAACTACACTGAGATGGTTTTTGGTTCTTAAAACCACAAAAATATTCTTATGGATCAACACTTCAAATAAAACACAGAAGAAGAGGAAAATATGGAGCTTTAAACAATAATAAATACGTAATTTGCACAGGTTTTAGTTTCATGACAGCAAACATTTAACAAGAGTGAGTTCAATTTTGTTCAAGTGTAAATTAAACAGCTGATGTTGGTATATGATGTTAAAACAGTTCAGGAAAGATTGATTTCTTTTCTCTGGGCAGAAGTAATTTTTTTGTTAGAATCAGCAGGTGAAAACAGTCAGAGACATGTCAGAGGTTAACAAGTTAAAACCAGTTCAATCAGTAAAACATGGTTTGTAAGTGTTTTGTTGGCTGGTGACAAAAGTGTTTTCCAGGTGGTCAGAGGTTAGTCAGTCAGAAAACTCCAACCTCGGTGCCCCACGGTCTGTAGGGTTTACTGCTGCTGCTGTGAGGAGTGTGGGAGGAAGAGGAGGAGGAGATGGGAGGACTGGTGGTGGAGGTGGAGGTGAAGGAGGAGGGAGGGAAGATGGGGAAACCTCCGTGGAGGGCGATGGGAAACGAGGCCGAGAGGGAGAGGAGGGAGGTGGAGAGAGGGGCGGGGGCACAGGGGAGCACAAGAGACGAGGAAGAGGAGGAGGAGGAGGAGGAGGAAGAAGGAGAGGAGGATGAGGTGGAGTCTGCGTGGGAGGAGTAGGAGGAGGCCACGCTGCGCTGCGATAGCTCGGCCAGCCTTTGGGGGGCTCCACCTCCTCCAGCATCTGGAGGAACAGGAAGCGCGCTCAGTCCATATGATGCAGCAGCGGTTGGTAGGTGTCGAAAAGCAGCCGCGGTGGCGACTGCGGCGGCTGCAGCAGCCCAGTGATGGGGGTGGAAGGGGTGATGTAAAGGGTGAGGCTGCTGCTGGTGGTGCTGATGGTGGTGGTGCGGAGAATGGGAGGCAGCTGTCAGGGCGGCGGCGTCACGTTGTGAGGCGCAGGAGGTGAGGTGTGAGAGGAGGCTGGAGCGCAGGGGGTCGCTGGAGTCTAGGCCCTCCACGGCGCTCAGGTAGCGGGAAACCTCCGTCACACACTCCCGGAAACCCAGAGACAGGAAATCCAGGGCCAGAGCGTGGGCATCAAAATAACCTACAGACACATAGGGAGAGGTCGTTTCCATAACGACAGGCTGAAGAAAACATAATAATAAACTTTATTTATAAAAGCAAATTTACAAGGTGCTTTATATAATAAATAAGTAAACTAAATGATACAATTAAAAGCTGATGTGAAGCTATTAAAAGCTCAGATAAAATAAGCATTTATAGATAGAAGATTTAAAAGAGAAACTGAGGCTGTTTGTCTAATTTCCAGTAAAAAGCTGTTCAAGAGTTTCGGATTCCTGATGTCAGACCCCCCCTGAGTCTCCAGCCTGAGCCTGAGGACCAGGTCCAGCCTGAGCCTGCAATGGCCTGCCTCAGGCTACGAGCCGGAGCGTACAGAGAGGGTCAATCTGTGCCTTAAAAACTAGTGACAGAAGTTTGAAATACTATCTCTGTGACACTGTCAGTCAAAACTGAACCTTTCTGTCTGAATACGAAAAGGTCGGATTGATGATTGATCCGTCATCTGCCTTACAACTGTTTCTTTTACTGTGGTGCTGGAGAAACATCTGCCGGTGAGGTGACAACAGCTCAACTGTTTCTTCAGTATCTGAGGAACTACATACATTCTTCAGTGTGTTGAGATAAACCTCTCTCTGCTCAGCTGACTCTCTGTTAGCTCTGTCTCTGCTCTTTAGACACTGCTGCTGCTGCTGCTGCTGCTGCTGCTGCTGCTGCTGCTGCTGCTGCTGGTAAACCCAAACAAATGCTACAGCCAACACTGCCCCCCCCCACCCCCCCGCCGGCTTTATGAAAGCAAACAGCGCTGCTCAGGGTCAAGTGGTGCTTTTATCCCTGCACTGCTTTCCCATGGACTCACCACCTCCCTCTGTCACACACACACACACACACACACACACACACATCTCAGGACACAAACTGAACGTCTGATGAAAAAAATCATATCTGACACCATAAAACTTTTTTGCTTTTCAGTCAAGCTCACAGTCTCTTGCTGGTGGAAGAAGAAAAGAAAATCATGGTGGGAAAAATTCAGCTGAATGGAAACTGATAAACTGTCCGTTAGATACACTGTAACCTGAGCCTGGTGAGTATCCGCTGGTTCAAACTCTCACTCATGACTTCTATTTTGTGTCAGTAAAAATACATTTGGACATTCTTAGTTGTGTTTTTGTCGTGTTTAGACACGGAGCCTTTCAGAGCTACGACCAGTGAGCAAGAGCTGAGAAGCAAAGAGGAGAAACTGAGCATGCGAGTGGACCTGAGGCTTAGAGTATGTTGCAGAAGCTCTGTCCTCTGTGTAGGATCAGTGTGCAAACTGGTGCACATAAAGGATGGTTTAGACAGATATTGTGTTGTGTTTACCTTTCCCTCCTGTGGCCTGCAGCATCTTCAGGTGGTCCACGGTCATCTGGAGGATTTCTGCCTTCTCCAGTTTAGCAGAACCCTGAAAGAACAAAGACAAAGGTTAGAGCAGGACACCTGTAAAAGTTCTGTCGCAAATCTGATTCTATGATAAATGATCATGATGTAATCTTTTACAGCCGAGCATCACTTATTACACTTAGCGACGGTTTGATCTTTTTAGTTTTATAGACATTTGACATTTCCTGATATATATCCATATTAAAAAAATCATTCTCATCATTACCCATATGCAAATGTAATATATGTACAGATATTGAATTTCTATATATGACATATATGTACATATAAAATAAAGGCACATATGTAAAAATTGACATATATGTCTAGCCCATACAAATATATATGTTTATGTATGTCTGCTTATATTATAGATGTATGTTAATAAATATATATCCATCCCAAAGCCTGTCAGTATATGTTGATATTAAGAGTCTGAGACCACTGTCCTAAAATAGGAAGAGACATGTTTAAAATAAATGAGAAATTAAAAAGAAAAACATATATTAGCATATAGATTTTTTTATATGTAGTCTACATCTTTGTTGTTCTTATATAAATTAAAAAAATATATTATTAACATATATGGTCGCTACATGTCAACATGTCATATACAATTCATAATATACTGTAGATATTTATAATATATGTGCATATACAAATTTTACTATGGTTATTTCATATATGTTATAAACTTAAATATAGATATATATATATATATATATAATATATACATATATATATATTTGATAATTATATGTCACATATGTGGCAGCATCACTCTTGATATAAGGACATATATGTCACATATTACATTTCTGTATGGGTAGTGGGGCAGACCTTATGTGCATTTTATGACTAAAGCGTCAAAGTTTCAGAATAAAATCTTCATACATGAAGGTTTGGTTTCAGACATGGAGACAGTTTATATCTGACCTCTGGTGACCTTGAGAGGTCAGCGTTGCAATTTTGCAGTTTTTGCCTGATCAATCTCTCGTTATAATCATGTATATATATATATACATATCTAATGTGAAGCATGATGAGAAGACTAAACCAGGAAACAACTAAATGACAGAAGTGTATATCAATACATATATTGTAGCTTGTAAGGTGGAGAAGTCCACAGGTGATTAACACTGATCTCACCTGCTTCTCAAACGCCGTGGGGACGAGTCTCCGCAACTCTGACAAACTGTTGTTGATTCTGTCTCTGCGTCTCTTCTCAATAATCTGAGTAAACGAATAAAAGAAAAACACACTGTCTCTGGTCTGGAAATCCTCAAACATAGTACAATTCTCCTTTATTAGTAATATAAATGATAACTTTACCCCTCTGCGTTTTTTCCTCGCCATCACCTGAGTGGTTGTCGTCGGTGATCCACATCTTATAAAGGATGCTTTCATGTGCCTGGGAAAAAACAATGACATGATAACAGGGATTCAGATTATGACCTGTCCACTGAGGAATGTGTTCAACTGTTTAAATGTTTGGTTTTTGTGTTTCGGGCCGTTTGGGAAAACGTCCATCAGGATGTTGTAGGAAAAACAGCATTTTAAAACACAAATGTTGAATTTAATTGTCTTTTATTGGGCTTTTTTATTTGTTATTCGAGAGAATTTCACTGTTGTCAGACTTGTCTCTGATGAGATGTGACCTACTGAAGCAATGAAAAGAACATTTTCCTCCTGTATTCTGATGGATTTATTCCTCTGCAAATCCACCAAAGAAATGATGAGCCATTTCTACATTATCTCTCCAGCAGGGAATCTCCCTTCAGCATCACTGCTGCTCTTCTTTCACACAATTCAAATGTACTTTTCTCCACATTTCAGAGCGAAATATTGTAGTTTTTACTGCACTATATTTAACAGATGTAGTTACTAAAAATTAAGATTTTAGTGGCAAAACATAATATAAGTTCATAAAATATGATGCATTATTATAGATTAAACTCCTCAAAGGAATAAGAAATAGTTCAAATGAGCTCCACCTCAGTAAAACATATGTTACTTAAACCTTCACGTGTCAGTCATGATATATAACACTCAGTGGGAGGATTTGTACTTTTACTGTGACTATTACTTTCAGTGCAGGACTTTTACATCGCTTCAGCTACTTTTAATTAAATAATGCAGTAACGATCTGTTGAAGACACCTCTTTTCTGGAGGTTGTAGAAAGTGATTGTGGGAAATGTGGAGATGTAGGACTTCAGTAATAAACAGGCTGAAGGACAGCGAACGTTCCAGAAAAGGAAATGAAAACAGAAAAGGTTTAATATCAGACCGGCTCAGTTAGATTTTATTTTGAAATATTAAATTAAGCATCAAAACTTGGTGTCTTGCTTTTATTTGCTGTTTTATGGGTGTGGGAGTTTTTATTCCTTCTGATTGACAAGCTCATACTCTATATCAGCTGTCCTTTAGTCCACTTTTATTTTATTCTACTTGCAGAAGCAGGTGAGTGGGGTTAGGTCACATCCTGTCAGATGGACAGGTGACCTCTCCTCAGGTGGATTTATTTCATTTCACTTCCAGACACTTAATGTCAGCTGTAACAAACTGCTGCCTTCTGCTCTGGACTTTCCGCACCATCTAGATTTTGAATTTTATTATTATTTAAATAGGCGCAGTATAAGTTTTAGTAACATGCAGTAAGCTTAATTCTGTCATTTCACCTCCTTTTTAAAGTATAATGTTGGACTTTATTTTATAAAATGAGAAGGAGTGGTTTGATATATGACAAAAAAATAATACACAACATATTTGATAAAAATGTGAAAAATTCTCTGGATCCGACTTTTTCCATGAATTTCCCCAGAAAAAGAAAGTTTAAGAACAAAAACGTGACATTTGAGCGTCCCGTTTCGTTTCCTTATATATTAAATATAAAATTAGATTAATCATCAGCCACCGAAGATTTTTATTGGGAATTTAACTGAAGAACAAAACACTCACCCTGGATAAATGTTCTCACTGCCCACATCGATGGTCTCCTCTACGTCACTCTCCGCCGAGCTGCTGTCCTCACATGGCCGCTTCATGGTGCATGGACGGCGGGCAGGGCTGGCTGGCTGGCTGTCTGTCCCCGGGACGAGACGCGGAGGTGTTGGAGGTCAAGTTAATAAAAAAAAGTTTCCTCCTCTCTTACCGACAAAGTTACGATGATTCCTGTGATCTGCTCTAGAGATATAAATGAATAAAGAAATTGCATTAAAGGTGAAAATACTGTGACAGAGGTGAACTAAAGGCCCTGCATTAAAATACCATTAATACTGATGAGTCAAAATGTCTTACAGGAGTATTACATCAGGTTTAGGCTCAGGTTTGTTTCATCCAGGGGTTGGTGAAGTCGCAGGTTTCCTCCCAGAAAGCAAAACTCCAGTTTCCTCTTGCAAACGTTTGAAATTAAAGATCCCTCCCAGCAAAACATCAGCATACAACCGATCTGAAGTCAGTCAAAGAAAAACTCCTCAAAATGTTCAGTGTAAAATAATTTCACTGGAGCTCCGGGAGTTGTTGTTTTTCCAGCGGTGTGTGTCCGGTAAATAGTCCGAGACAGGTGGCCTGTGAGGCGCCTGCAGACTGGACTGGTGACCGGTGTGTCCTCCTCCTCCTCCTCCCCCTCCTCCCCCTCCTCCTCCTCTGCTGCTGGAGCTTTCCCACGGAGCCTGGGAGCCACACACACACACACACACACATACACACACACACACACACACACACACAAACTCAAGCAGCAAGTTTGAGATGGAAGATTTGTGCAGTCTCGGCAGGGCTGGTCCTTCTCTCCTGATAATACCGCCTGTCTGGTTCAGACGGTGTGTGTGTGTGTGTGTGACAGACAAGTGCATGGGAATGAGGCCACTTCTTACAGTCAAAAAATAGCCATTATATAAGGCTGTAGGTTTCAGCCTGGACTGCAGCAGAGCAGCTGAACATCCACCATGTCTCATTTACTTCCACGTCTCCATCAGCTCTGATCACTACTGTTTGCAGCTGCTGCTCTACTCGTTTACATCTTTAACTACAGTTAAACCAGCTAAGCTCTACTTTATGCTACTAACTCCTGCCATCTATTCTAATGTGACTCTGTTTGTCCCAAACTAACCTGATGACTATAACTACTAACTAGTTTGTACTAAGAGGATGTGTCCACAAGTTTTCTCTCACTTGGGCTCCCATGATGCAACATGCTCTGTTCTTCACAGTAACTTGAAGAGATTTATTTATTTAAACACAAAACTTTTTTCATTACGTTTTATTATTTACAGCCACTTCGCTCAGAGACTGATCAGCTGTGTGGAGGTGAAACAGTACACATGACAACACCGTTACCTCTGGGTAGAACTGTTATTATGTTCACTGCTGCAATTAACAATCAACAGTATATACTGCTGTTCATTGTCTCTCTCTCTTTCTCTCTCCTCCCCCTCTCCCCTTCCCTAGAGGCAGACACCCCCCCCCGGATGTTAAAGGTAGTTTTTCCTCCCCCTGTCGCCAAGTGCTGCTCTTTGTGGGAACTGTCGGGCTTCTCTCTTTAAAAAAGTAAAGTGCATATTATGATTTTTCCACTACACAAGTGAAACTGAATTGAATTGAAACAGTGTCAGGGTCTGAGCCTCTGTCTCAGCTCTTTTTTTTTCATTTGTTACACAACTATTTCTCTCACTTTCACGTGAACAACAGAGAGCGACACCAGCAGAGAGCGTCTGAAAGTGTTCACTGTTCTCTCCATATTTACACCACTGTGTCTTCTCTCTCTCTCTTCTCACTCCGCCTTCAAGTGTGGACATTCAGGTCAGCTATAAACACTTTTTTTCCTTCCATCGTGGTTGTTGTAAAGGAAATAAAACTGAAAAAAAAAAAAACGGAAAAAAACTGAATCATGAGCTTGTCTCCTACAAAGACTTTGATAAGGGCCTTGAAAGACACATTCCACAAGCTTCTTGCTCGATCATGTAAAGTGTAAGCTGTTGCTTTCTTGGTGTCATCCTTGCACCCATTATTTATTTATTTATTTTGTTGATCTTTCTCTTGTCACTGATGTTGTTCTTCTTGTTATATAGTATGTTCTTTTGATTTTCCTTGATAATTGTGTTTGCATTATTATTCTATTTAAAAAAAAAAAAAACGTGGTGGTTTTACGAGCCATGTCTTCTCAAGCGTAACCTGGTCTTGTATCAAAGTCTGTCCCCTTCAGACGGTGTTTCCCGCCTTCTTTCATGGTTTAGGTTTGGTGCACTGAAGTCTGGATTTTATAAACCGGGCAAAGAAAAGGCAAAGAGAGCAAGTGTGAGATCCCACAGGGTCAGGTGTCTTGAAAGCTCTGGGTTTATATGTGTGAACAACTAAAATACAGGATAAGAGCCAGAAGATGGGGAGGCTGCTGTGGCTAATTGCGGTTGTAAGACACGTCCTAAACTAACATGGATTCCTCTCGAACTACTGCATCATGCCAAAGTCACATCTGCCTGCAGCCATTTAATACTGTCATTTCATCGGACATGCTGTTTCTGTTTCCTCCATGATGTTGGTGTTGGTGCACGACATTCCCACATCACCACAGTCAGTCGGCTGTGTGTCGGCTGTGTGTCGGCTGAGTGTCGGCTGAGTGTAGAGAAACAGAGTGAGACAAAAATAGAGAAAAGTAGAGTGACACAGTGTGTGTGTGTGTGTGTGTGTGTCTGTAGGAGACATTCCCACCGCTCCTGGCTGTGTATGCTGAAACCCAATCATCGTGTGAGAGAGGCCAGACGCACACACACACACACACACACACACACACACACACACACACACACACACACAGAAGCGGCTGTCTTTTCACACCTGCTAATCTTTTTTGAAATACAACAATGATTTAATGCAGGAATTATAATGCAGACACACACACACACACACACACACACACACTCACCTTCCCACCATTTATCCGTTCTCTCTCCTCCCAGCTGATAACGTCAGATAGACTTGTCAGCACCCTCTCATTGGCTGAACTCCTCCTCTCTCTCTCTCCTTGTTACTAAAACACATTAGCGTCTCTCTATCTCAGATTATTGCAGTAACACAGCAGTGAGTCCATCTACACACAGGTGACAAATAATGAACACTAACTGTTCATACTTCCTTAATGGTATGGCGTACTGGGAGCTCCACCTGGTATGAGAATTTAAAACAGAAACCAGACAAAACTGTAATGATGCATTTTGTAATATTAAAGGTCCATTCAGTGTAAAGGTCTCTGTCCATGTGTAGTGTGATTATAGATCAGGTCTAGCTTCTATATTAACACTGTGAATGTATCAAAGCCTCAGTCCACAGAGAAATGCACACAGCCTGTATTCAGAAACTGAACTCTACAAAAATGTTCAAAAATGTGCAATAGCCTGAAATTAAGCTTATTATATGTGCATTGTGTTTGGGAGGCTGCAGCCCACTAGGTCACAATTTGAAAAACCCAGTCTGTGTGTGTGTGTGTGTGTGTGTGTGTGTGTGTGTGAGCGTGTTGATGATATCAGAGGTTTATTAGTGTCAGGGGTCACAGAGGACAAGGAGGGCCATCCCATAGCAGGAAACACTGAGTGTTTGAGGGAGGAATATTTGTTTGTGTGTGTGTGTGTGAAGGATAATATCTCAGGGAACGCTGGGCCGAAGCGCCAGGCCGTGAGTCGGAAATCCTTTTGGAACAAGAGAACATGACTGGGCCTTTTTGTGTGTGAGTGTGTGTGTGTGTGTGTAGAGAGAGAGGAGAGAGAATGGGAGGAAGTGGTGTATTATTCTCAGTTAGACGGTGCTCGCCGCCCGTCCGTCACTACGACGCCTCAGACCTCACACTGCTCAAGCCCTCGTTCCCACAGGACATTCAATGCACACACACACACACACACACACGTCACCTATAAACTACCTGCTGTAACTTCACCAGCACAAACAAACATCCAACAAGAACCTGATTCTTGTCATTTTATTTTCAATGAGAAGAAACCAGAGAGATTTTCTTTCTTTGTGGTTCCCTCTGTGGTGGAGGGAACCTTCTTTAGATCCACTCCTTGAAGGAGGAGGAGGTCAGTGTTGGACTCTAACGACTCTAACATTGGACAGACATTATATTTTGGTTGGAAATGAAAATCCCTCGGAGGACGTCGTCCACAAAGATGTGGCTCTTTGTGGCGACCGTAGACCACGAAGGCTGAACTAAAATGAGATGGTCTGGTCTACAGAAGACTTTCACTTTGCGTCACCAGCTGTTCCTGCTCTTATCGTTGCGTTGCAAAGCTGCTGTCGCCTAGCTGTTGTCGCTTAGCAACCTTGATAACATATAACATTTTTTTTCACAGAAAAGGTTTTAAGGCCCTTGGTTTTAAGAGTTGTACTGTTAGTTGTTGAATTGAGCTGAAACACAATACTTACATTTAAACGTGTAATCCTTGAGCTCCCTGTCAGTGGGGCCACGAAGGATCCACCTGCTGGATCCTTTGTCGAAGGTTGAAGGACACACTTTCCTGCCACACTTGAAGGAGCCTTGGAAATGGGTCACACCGCTCTTCAAATGCGGCCTCCGAAGGATGCGGCCCCTGATTTAGGACACAGCTTAAAGTATCTGTACTTTATACTGTGTGTCAAGATGGCGTTGGCATGAGACATTTGAAAGATGATGGATTTTGTTTACTTAACAACACGATTTAAAAACAACAAAATTTCAACATCAGCTGTCGTCAGTTATTCTACGTCAAATTGATGCTGGCTGTAAAACCTACATTCGACCAAATAACAAGGTCTAACGTGCCTGCAGGGAAGTGTTATGTGCTGTAACAGTCCACCACATATAATACAGTTACAGTATGATATTTACATCTCATTCTCATGACACATACATGTGCTGATATTTCCGTACATGCATGATCATTCAGACATACTGTAGATGATTAAATGATTCATTCTTGATGCTGATGTTTGTTAGTTTTGGTGAATTATGTTCCTGTAATTATATGTTCCGATATTTTTTACATTATATTACTTCAGTATATTTTACTTCTTGTGAATGTTGGTTGATATATTGTAATAAATTTTGTTGGGCATTATTTTCATATACAGAATGTTACCCATGATGGGTTTGCAACTCTATGACCAAATGTCACAGACCAGAGAGGATCCACACGCAGAATCAACAGACAGAGGCGGACGTAAGGCAAACAGAAAAACTTTACTGAGTATTTGTGGAGCGAAATACAGTCAGTGTACAAAAACCTAAAGTGATCAGGCAGAGGTACCGAGGGGTCAGGCAAAAACACAATTCCGAAAAACAGGCATAGGTCAAAAATCCAGAGGTCAAGAACACGAAAACAGGCGGGATACGACGAAGGCATTAGCACAAACAACGATCTGACAATGACAGAGGGAAACTGACTGGTATAAGTACTGAGGGGATGATGAGTCGATGTGGAGCAGGTGTGTGGAGGCAGAGCCGGCTGGTAATTGATAGGAGGATGAGTAGAGGGGTGTGAACAGGAGGAGCAGCAGGAGGGAGGAGCTAAGAAGCTCCGGCAGAGTCCATGACACCAAACCTGAA